AGCTGCCCGGGGCACTGCTGGGCCCCTTTGCTCCGTCTGTTCACCCCGAGACCTCCGGCCACTTTGCAGGCGAGTCCTCCAGCCCTCTGTTCTGCAGGCAGGGAAACTGAGGCACGGAGACAGGCTGCGTCCAAGTCACTGGACAAGGATTATGGCAAATCCAGGAGCTGAATCCCAGGGTCACAACTGACCACATTAGAAAGCCGGCAAACGCAGGCTCACGCGTGCTCCCATCCTCCACCCGCTTCGGCTTGTTCCCATTTGGGATCCCAAGACGCAGTGAAGGGTGCAGCCCGCCTGGGGTTCCCCGGGAAGCCCCAGCCAGCAGCGGCGAGCCAGCCCCAGCCCTGCGGCTGCGCAAAAAGCGCTTCCCGCTCGGATCGTCCTCGCCCGGCCTCCAGGACCGATTCCAGCCCATAGCTATTTTACTCCACCCTGAACTGCAGGGATTCCTCACTCCAAGTCGGGGAGAGGGACGAGGTCCCACCATCCATGCATCAGGCTGGGAACAGGAGTCTTGATTTTTACATCTCTGGCTGCAGATAAGCCAAACGCCCACACTCAGCCCCATCCTCCCACCCTTGGCACCCGCCGACGCTCCGGAGACGGCGCGAGCCAAGCGGGTTCGTCGCAGAAGCGCTTCCCTCGGCGAGCCGCCCACCCATCGCCAAGGCAAAAAAGAGAGAGATCTTAAAAAGGCAACAAACCCAAGCAAAATGGACTCAACGAGACTGAATCCTCCCTCCTGCTTTTTGCCGTCTCTGCAAGATGCACCAAGAACCGCAGAAAAACGGGCGCCACAAAGAAAAAAAAAAAGTAATTAAAGAAAACTCAGTCATAGATCCTAATGCAACATACGCAGGAAAGTGTTACGAAAGGGAAAACTTTTTAATAAAGTCTGCAAGTATATATTTCTCCTTTATCAACCTCAAGATTTATTGACCCAAGAAGCCATATTGACTGAATAAATCTTGATAATGACCCCAGCAGAAGTCAATACCTGCTTATTATCTTCCAAGTTGGGGAATTACATCTTTCTATAATAGGAACAGGATGGTACAAAACGTTCTGAGAAACTTCAGCGAGCCTTTTTGGGTGGAATGGATGCCTCTAATGTTCCTTTTCCAATTTGAGAGGGAATCTTCTACGCTATTAATAAAGATACCATGCCGCAGATCCATTCTCCATTGCAAGGCTCAGGGGAGGAAGAACTCTGTTTGCACATGCCATTGCTTTTGAACCCTACATTATTTCCCTTTAAACTAAGCCTGTGTTCTAGGAGCAGGAGCCTTCAGCTCTCCAACACCTTCAATCCCTGCAAACAATGGCCTTGCATTTTAAATTTGTAGTTTTGTATCAGCAGCTCCTGTGATAATTCACCAAAACACAGGAAGCAGGACCTCCCGCAGCAGGAGATGCAGAGGAGCATCACTGTACTATTACCCAAGGGAAGAGGGGAGCAGCCCCACGCCAGCAATTCAACCTCACCCCTCGCCTCCCGCACGTCTGCCTGGCTCCAGGCCTGATCGAGCCCAGCCTGCAGACACGCAGCCAGTCAGTGCTGAACGTCTTCCACGAGAAATCCTCCATTCCTCCCCAGAGAGGACAAGGAGTCTGTCCGGGGGAACGACCTGCCACGGACGCAATCACTGCTCGTTTGCTGCAAACGGGCCAAGAGAGCCGGCCATGGTGACCACACAAGGCCACAGCGTTAGAAAAGGCTGGGAGAAAAGTGAGCCCCAGAACATGGCTTTGTCAAAGGATAAGAAGATTTAAAGAAAAAAAAAAAATCACTGCTCTCTACAACTTTTGGAGCTCTCCTTCAGAGTTTGCTAAGTCCCCACCAAGACACAGGGCCACCCATGGGAACCCAAAAGCAGCTCTCCAAGCTGGATTTCTTTGACCCGCAAAAATTAGCGGAAGGGGAAAGGAGAGGATGAGGGAAGGCCGCTCCAGCTCCCCAAATCCACAAGCTCGCTGGAGACGAGCAAGGACTTCTGCCTTCTAAAAATGGCGATTCTTTTGCCAGCAGTTAACTTCACGTTCGGCAGAGAAAAGAGTAGCTCGGGGACTGCAACGCACAACAATTATGCCTGCATTTTTATTTGAAGTCTCTGCAGACAGCGAGAAAAATTAACTGAAGGGAGCAGCTACTGTGCCAACATATGGAAGGAGATGAAGAGCGAGCTCTGCACGCTCCGCTGAGGTTATCTAGCTAAGCAAGCACCTCCTAAAGGACTCTCAGGCTGGGAGCGAACTGTTTGCTAAATCTGGTCATAAATAATAATTCAAATCACCAAACACTTTAACATTCAGCTCTACCTGCAGCACAAAAACCCCGCCGAGCCTTGTCGAATTCGCCATCTCGGAGCGCGAGGCAGCATTCGCCCCTTGACCAACCCCAACAGCGGGCTGCTCAGATGCAGTCCAGGGCGGCAGGTGCACCATGGGACCCAGCGCCATCACGGTGGCCGAGAGCAGGATGGGGCCTGGTGAACAGCTGCATCCTACCTAGTTTAGCCCGAGCGCTCTGCTCTCTCCCCCATTTCAGCAGGAATAAAGCGTAGAAAACGGAGACAGCAAACCCAAATGCTCCGCTGGCCATGGACATGCCCATCCTGAAGGCAACGGCCTGAGGAACCAGCCAGGAGGTTATGGGACTGACACCCTTCGCTCCTGTCCCACAGGAGCAAATTATATTTTCGTCCATGTCCCCTATCCGCCTCTTGGTCACAGTCCCTTCCCCATTCCCCCCCAAGGCCACAGAGACAATCCACTAAACTGGATCAGGAGGCCAGCATGTACATCTCTAATGGGCTGCAGCATGCACACAATTAATTAATGGATTTATTAATTAGGGAAGAAGTCACTCTTTGGGCTGGAATTGGGGTCACCAGTTTCTAAAGTGAGAGCTGCAGAGCTAAAGATAAACTCTCATTTTCTGCAGTTCTCTTCTTGTCTGGCAGTGTCTCAATTATTCAACCATAGGAAAAAACCCCACATTACACTTAGGAACTTCACGGTCTTTTTCTTCCGATGCACAAAATCGGGACTCAACAGCAGGTAGGACCAGGAACCCAGCCAGTCTTATCCTCCCCTTTATGTAAAAGTTAGGGGTATTAAAAACACAGTATGCACTAACAACAGAGCCCCAGGCTTGCTCCCTCTGTCCCCGAGATCGAAGCCCCCCAGCCCAGGCAGGATGGTATCTGACTTCTGCACTGGCTGAGCACCGCAAAAGGCCGCGGTGTGCACGGCGCTGTACACAGCGAGAGCAGAGCCAGCCCACACGTCACAGCGCAGCACCGAGGGTCTGAAGAGCTCGAGGGGGTTTTCCCTTCCCGGCTCACCCAACGGGCTGGCGTATGGCCAGGGATGGCAGGAAGACCAGCGGCTGCTGCCCCATGTCCCGGCCCAGGCAGGGACCGCAGCAGCGTAGGTGCAGAGGAAGGGGGCACCACAAAACAGTCTAGCATAGCAACTTCCAGAGAACCAGGTGTCCCAGAAGCTTTAACAGGCCGTGCTGGGACATCAGCTGCCCTCTGACAGCCAGTTTGGCTGAACTTTCTTGGTGGCACACAGAGGTAATAAGCACTTCTGACTGCTGCAGGCCTAGATCTCAAAGGAAAGATGGCTTCAGAGAAGGTAAGCTGGGCTAAGGAGAGCCGTATCACTAGTGTCCCTGCTGAGAGATTGGCTGTGGAGCACAGCCGCAGTAATAGACAGCAAAGAATCCACACCCACTAGAGCGACAGTACGAGTCCCCTGGTCATTTGGGAACGCCTCAGTAGGAGCACACGCCTATTGGGCGCCAGATAACCCAACCACAAGACAGACAGCTGTAAAGAACCAGGCTTCATTACTTCCACTGCTCCCAATTTTTTTTTTCCCACCCCTTAAACTATGGTTTTCCAGCAGATGTTCTGCCTTCCCACCCGCCCTGCTGCAAGGGCAGGAGTCGAGTCACCAGAAAACATGGGATACGTTAACCACCCAACACGCCCCCAAGCCAGTCCCCGGCACGCACACAAGTTTTACTTGCATGAGTAAACCCTGATGTTTCAGTGGGGAAGGATCACCCCAGGAGCAGGACTGCGCCCACGGGCGGTCAACGCCAAGTGAACGCCGCCAAGGCGGTCTGCAGGCCAGCCTGCGCGCATCTGCATGTACAGCGCCTTGCACCAGCACCGCCCCACTCTGTATTTCACAGCACTCAAAGGCCCCAGGAAACAGCCATCAGCACTCCCCGTATGGCTCCAAAGCCACGGGCAGCACTCCCCGATGAGTTTATCGGCTCCCAAGCAAGAGGGGAGGATGCTAAAGGTCAGGAGAGCTCGCCATATGAGCGGCAGACCTCGCTGCTCCAGTGCGGCCACCGCCCACCGTGCTGTACCATCAGGAGAACGTTTCACCCGTGATGCCATGGTTCAACATCCAGGAAGCCGCAGCAAGAGAAGGGCACGTGGCAACGCACATCCTCGGGAAAACAACGTTTCTGAGGGAACCAGAGCATTTTTCCTTTTCCCACCACGGAGCCTCATCTCTCCCCTCTGTCCCCAGGCAATATGTTGACTACCGTGCAGACCCACCACAGTCACCAGAGGAGAAAGACAGTCGGGGTAAGAGGACCTTCTGCCTGCCCCAGACACACCTGGCTCCTGCAGGTGCACCCACACACACGTTCCCCCCTCTTCCCCTCTCAGCAGCGGACAAGACTTCTCTCTCTCTCAGAGGCCAGAGACATCCCAGGCAGGGTGACCACCAGCACCTCCAGCTGGTGAGGGCACCTCGGCAAAGCAGGGGTGGGAAAGCACTTGCCACAAGTGGCAAAGCTACTGGTTGTGTTGGTTGGGGAGATGCTACTGAGGCAGAGCAAACTGGAAGATCCCACGGATCGCTCTGCTCTCCTCAAAGCCCTAACAACACACGCAGCCTGGGGACTTGAGAAGCTGAGGCTCCCCCTGCTTGGAGCCCCGAAATTTACCCTTCTTCCCCCCACGGTTACCCTGCCCACAGGCTCTGCTACAACTGTGCAGTTCAGTTTATTAGTCCAAGCTTGAGGAATTAAGCTGCAGCCAAGAGGACTGATAGCTTATTTACTGCTGTCATCTATATAAAGAAGAATTTTGACACATTGTTAAATGATAGCACATTTAGATAAGTCAAGCTGTCATATCATTTAATGGATGTCTAAACTCCCTCTGTAGCTGATATGCAAAATTTATGCACTTCAGAATATCATAAGGTTATAATATTTTAATCACATCCACATTTTTTTCTAAACTTTGAACAGTGAAAACATTCCATCAAACACAACACGCTCCGAGGCTCTCGGCACACCGCAGCCCGGCAGAGAAACCACCAAAGTTTCTGCCCAACTCGCCACAAAGTCTGCTCCTCCACGCAGGCATGCACAGAGCGCTTGCACTACGGGAAATAAAACGAACACCACTTTATTTGACGAACCAAACGCTAGAGCCATGTAGCCAGAGCTAATCTGCATAATGAGATGTGAAGACATTTATAAAAGATGGCAATAATAGGTCTCTCTCCCCTCGCTCGCAGTTGTATTTATTATCCCAAATCATCAGCTCACAACTCTTCCCATTTTTTGCCATTTTAAATCAGAACGGGTAGATTGAGAAGGCATCCAGAATGCAGAGTGTATAATCCATACAATGGTAAACTGAACATAATAAAACATAAGCAAATTAAAAACAAGAAAAAAGGTATGAATCCCGTTATGACTATTATACACAAGAAAGCTGTAAAAAAAAATACTGCATTAGTAATGTACACAATAAAACAATCTCATAACCAAATGAAATATGTCTGGCATTATCTCTGATAGAATTTTATCTCTTCTCATTTCCGAGACTATTTGCCGTAAAAGGGCTCAATGCCATTTTGATCAAAGTGCTACGGAGTATCACATTATCTGCATGTCTTACATATGCCCACCATTCATCAGGGTTGCTTAAACTCTCCCATTCCCAATGGGTCCCGGGCCAGCAGAGCTGCTTAAAGGCATACGTGAAGAAAAAAAAAAGGAAGAGGAGAAAAAAGAAAAAAAAAGAAAAAAGGTCTTGGAGGAATAATAAACAGATTGTCACCCCCCCCCTTTTTTTTTTTTATTAAATAGAAGGCATTAGGCCAAGCTGGCACAAGGTCACCTTTCCCAGTGTGATCCCGGGGAGGAGGCAGACCTGCTGCCTGGACAGAAGTCACCACTCACCGCTGCTCACTTCCCGGCTCGGCACCCAGCCGCAGCGACCCAGTCAAC